CTTTAGTGTTTGATACTAACATGTTTTATATTTGTTATCTTATTCACTCTTTAATACTTTGCTTGTTAGATGACTAATCTAGATTTTTGTTATATAACACTTGGTATAACAAATTCTTGGCACTTTCATAGTCCATACTGTATGGTATACCGACACTTGAGCTATGAAAAGAACTTGATTTGTTGTTAACATAAGTTATAATCATGAATGCCTGACGGGATTTACAAGTATTAACATTAATTGAATAAGATAACTAATATAATCATGTTAACAATTTATAATCTGATTGAAACCTCCTTAGTATGTGGTTTCTAATTGAATAATAAGAGTTTATACTATACTTATTTGACATACCATTAATAGATCCTCTAACTTTGATATTTGTTGTTATCATTGTTTAATCCTTACGTTAATCTTCCATCTTAAAGTTCTCATTAACTTCTTTATTATTATTATTACTACTACTACTACTACTACTACTACTATTATTACTATTACTATTACTATTACTATTATTGTTATTGTTGTTGTTGTTGTTGTTATAGTTGTTGTTGTATTATTGTTATCTATAATTTATATAATTAATCTCTCTGTAGTTCGACCCCGATTTTGTAGAGTTATTTATTACTTCAACACTTTTGCACTTAGAAAAAGATATCAATCTTTTGGTCGTGTCACTAAATATCATTGTACATTTTTTTCCATGTAACTCTATAAACTGACTACACTATTTATTGTGATTCATAGTGATATCTAGGGTCATATAAAGCATCCATGTATTCTAGGAAAAAAAAATGGTTTGTGACATTTATTAATGATCACACAAGATTAAATTGGGTGTATTTAATAAAGAAAGAATTTGAAGTGGAAATAATTTTTTAAGTTTCTTACATCGTAGTACAAACCTAATTTCATTTTTTTTTAAAAAAAAATTGTGATATGATAATGATCAAGAATATTTCAAAACAATTTTAGGCAAAATTTTTTATGGAAAAAAATCTTCATTAAAACTAATGTGTTGACACTTTGGAACGAAATGGTATGGCCGAACAAAAAAAAAACATCTATTGGAAGTAGCTTGAACATTACTTTCTACTAGTAAGAAAACCTAAATACCTTTAAGGTAAAACTATTTTTACTACTATATATCTCATAAATAGAATGCCTCGTAAGGTTTTAAGATTTGAAACACCTTTCAATGTTTTTTATAAGTTTTATCAAACAAATTTGGCCTTTATGTTTTAACCACTAAAGATATTTGGTTTTACTACTTATATTCATATTCATAGTTAATCAAGAAATACTTAGCCCTAAGCCAAAAAAATATTTTGCTTATGCTCCCATCTAAAAAGTTTATAAATGTTTTGGACCTAATTCAAATAAAATAAAATAAAATCATAATAATAGATGTTACTTTTTTTGAATTACATATACGCCTCATCTTTAAAGGGAACGAAAACATAGATTCTTCTATGTCTATGTCTCATTTTTTTTCTTCAAACTAACGATTTACAATATGATATTTCTTTAATTGTGACCATTTAATCTAAAAATACAAATTGTGAACCAAGTCCTTTAGATACTGAAAACTCAGGTCTTCCTATAATGCATTGTCATGATCTTAACAAAAATGAAACATAAACTAAAATCACAACATTGATACAATTTGATGTTGTCTACTCATGACAAAGGACAATAAAAAAGAAAGATTAATCTAATTCTTTGCACTGCCCAAAATCTATAAACCCTTTAGGTAATTTCTTTAATAAATCAATACCGTATGTTTAGTTTATTTCAACGTTAAGTTTTAAGGTCTTCTAGTTCTAAACATAAGTTTGGTTCTAGTCTCGAGTTTAATGATTATGATATTTCCATTGTTATCTGTAAAGGCGTGAGGTCTTGCACCCAATATCCATTTTCTAATTATGTGTCACATGAAAACTATCAATTGTATTTCATGCCTTTACCTTACTATTGTTTTGTATGGATATTCCAAATATCGTACATAATGCTTTGAAAATTCCTAAATGGAAAAAAGGTGTATTTAAGAAGATAAAAGCTTTTTAAAAATGACATATGAGAGTTAGTTGATCCGCCAGGATAAAAGATAATTATAAGGTGCGAATGAGTATTTACAAAAGTCAGATGACTTCATAGAATAATATAAAGCTTGATTGATTATTAATGGATTCATATAGACCTATGATATTTATTACATGGAGACACAAATCTCAACTTTATGATAGTTCTTTTGTCATTTGCAATTAATTGCGATCAACCTCTACAACAGTTGGATAAAAAAAAATGCATTTCTTAACAAAGTCTTAGAAGAAAAGTATACGTGGATACACTCTCAGGATTTTGTGAAAGCTTGGTATCAAAGTGTGTAAATTGAAGATTTCTTTATATTGGTTAAAATAATCATCAAGAGCTTGGTTTGAGAAATTCATTTTGTTTGTTAATAATCAAAGGCATACTCAAGGACAAAAAAATGATCATACAAAGTTTATAAGACATTTACAAGATGGTAATAAAGCAATACTAATTATCTATGTAGATGATATAATTTTTATTGAGGTTGATGTACTTGAGATAAATCAATTGAAGTCTTCTCTCTCATTAACATTTGAAATTAAAGATTTAGAGTCTCTAAGGTATTTTTTAGGAATGAAGATTGTTAGGTTAAAGAAGGGAATCATTGTCTCTCAAGTAAAGTATGTCTTTTATCTATTTAAGGAAACTAGGATGAGTGATTGTAAGCTAGTAGATATTTCAATAGATCCGAATGAGAAACTTAAAGACGACAAGGAAAGTGATCTAGTGAATAAAACACATTATCAAAAGTTGGTGAGAAGGTTGATTTACTTATTACATACATGGCCTAATATTGTATTTATTGTGAATTTAGTAAGCTAGTTTAGATGGGACAAATTCATTCAATTACAGAAGATTCACATTAAGATACTGTACTTATATCTAGAAAAATATAATTATAAAGCTAATAGAAATTGACATAGATGATTGATAATGGAGTTATGTGCATACCTGCCATCTGTTCCTATTATCCAATAAATAGTTGATAATATGAAGTATATAGGCATTAATAGACATTTTATAAAAAAAAAAATCGATAGCAGAGCTCTCTGCATACCATTTATTTCAATTACCCAATAAATATTCAATTTCTTTATTAAAGAATTTCTTAGATCTATTTTTGAGTTTTTCATGAGTTGAGTATGATAGATATTTATATTTCAACTTAAAGAAAAAAAATATTAGATTTATAAGAGATAAAATAGAAAGTGATATTACAAATAAAATTTGGAATTAGTGTTTCTGATTTTTAGGAGTTTTTGTTTTCTTCTTTCTAGATTTGCTCTTTTATGTTTTGATTTCTTGATTTCGTGGGATTTGATGGTCTTATATCTTGTAGTAAGAAAGAAAATAATTCTTCTTCCAAAAACCTACAAACATAATCTTTTCTACCGGCGTGACCATTACCTAAAGACGAAACAGACGTTTTGTCCTGATAATTGTGTTGTTTTATGCCGAATTTATTCATTCATGTATTTTACTGATCGAGGTTGAATTTGCAGCAGGCTTTCCTTTTTATTATTTGTTACTTCTTTGATTGATAACAAGCAATTTGCATCATTTTCTGATCACAGTTTGCAAACTAAAGATCGCAGTTTGTGTTTATAATTGGTCTTTGTTATGGTTACTGAGGTTGCATCCAATATGCTACCTCCATGATTACAACAGAGTGGAAAAAGATGATACGCAACAAGCAAACTCAGTTCATGTATAATTTTCTCCCGTTTCTGCTTGGTAATCCTAAACAACTTAAAAGTTTAATTGGCTGTCTCAAATTTATATACTCAATGTTCCATTTCATTGCATGAACCTATTATGGCTTGCTGTGGAAGATCATCGAATCTCTTTTCTTAGCAAATGCAAAATTGCAGAGATCATGCCATTCGCTTGTCATTGCACTTGGATAGCTTTATCCGTCTGGGGATAAAACAGAGTGGTTTATTTCCACATCTGTCTATATTCTTTCAAATTGTTTCCATCAAATGCTATGAGCCTCACATCTAAACCAGTTCTACACTTCAATGTTTTGACGGTGAAGGAAAATTCCATGTCCGTGCCGTGCATGAACGCATGGTTGCACATTTGTGAACGCAAGTAAGTCCGGAACTTTCAAGATCATGAGCACGTTTGACTTGCGAAACGAAATATCGAAATTTTGGAACAGTGCTAGAACTTCAATATTCAGTGGTATTCGATATACAGTAAGTAGTTTTTTTTATTTTTGGTTAGGAAAAAAGATAATTTCTGAATATCCACATGATATATTCATTTGGAAAAAGTGGAGATAGCCGGCAGTTCATTGCTTAATTGCGTTGTTGAGAAAGGTCGAGTAGTCCTACTCAACATGTCCTAACCTTTTCATGCCTATGGCATGTGCTTAGAAGTTAGAAAGTAGCATAAACTAGGGTCAAAATCCGTACTTTTCATGCCTATTCCCTTCGTGATTTATATTGTGTCTAAAAGAAGTAACCCTTGATACAAACCTATGTAGTTGGAAAGGATGCGATTACTTTCAATAGGTTTGATCTGAGCAGAAATCCACAGAACTCTCGACAGGACAACAAGAACAAAAGTGAGTAATAAAACAGGATTTTATTAACAATTAACTCCTACAGTCTGCTACATTATAGTAACATAAACCCAAGGTTAATAGAATAAGACACCAGCACTAAAAAGATTGAACAGCCTACAGTTAATAAAAGGGGGATATTGCAATTTCTTTACATGTTAACAGACACTAATTAAGTAAAAAATAGAAAAAAGACTACAGCACTTCAGAAATATCTAAGCGCAGCTTCCTTGGATGTTAGCTGCTCTCATCTCGAGGAAAAGCAAAGTGAAGGACATGGAATCAATAGTAACTCCCCTTGTGGGAAGGGTTTGGAATTATCTGAATCTCATTTTCTTCAATCAGGCAAGTAATTTGCTTCTAGCAGCATTTGAGAAAATGACCCAGACCAATTGGTGAGGCTTGAATCGCAAACTCCATGTTCAAGACCATAATCAACAGCATCAGCAGTGCAGGTTCCATCCAGATCTGGTGTAGCCCGAACCCAACAAACGCTAGCCTCTGCTGTTGCTTGACTTGCTAGAACCCCATCTGCCTCATCATATCCACCACTAAAATCAATCATCTTATAACAGAAATCATCATCCTGTGTTGAGGCAGCTTCCCCATCATTTTCGACGCGCTCAACCTCAATTGACTGCAAGTTCTCTGTAGGATTAAATGCATATATAATTGGTTCGGGTGTAACATTACTCGTGGAAGTAATATCTGAATCATCAGCCATCAGATAACTTTCAAGATCCTGCACATTCTCAAAAGAAAAGCACTCAGAATGGTCGAATTCTGCCCAATTATCAAAGACCAGTTCAAGCTCCAAGTGCTGCTGTTGGTTTTCTACGGCCACATAGAAACCCATAATCTGTTGCTGACGTTGATCTAATTCATTGATCCTGGGCTTTTGCGGTATGGTGTTTGTTGCATCATCAACAATTTCACTGTCAGCATCCCTCTTCCTCTTTTTAGTTGTTGCGGTTGTTGTAGTTTGTACTGTCTCAGTGGAGTGGACTTCTTTCTTTCTCAATCGACACAGGACAATTTGTTCAGAAAGTGATGGCAGGCTGTACTCAAACATGAACCAGGAGCCATTCTGGTCAGATTTCGGATTTTGGTAAGTGAAAACCTTTCTGATGACAGAGACTTTGCAGTCGGGGTCGATGGAGACATTGAAAGGAGGGTCTTTGAACTCTTGATGCCATGTACCGGGCCCGCAGCTAATTTTGCGCACAAAGTTCCTCCCTTTCTTGGTGAGTTGAGTGAAGAAGAAGAGATCCTCGCCATGACGTTTGGGGAAGGATTCCCAGATTTGCCAAGGTTCTTTGGCATGGTCGCCAAAGATATGGGTATCTCTAATGGGAGTATGGATGGTGGTGAAGAGTTTAGGGTTTGTGATTCTAGGGTAGAGATAGAAACGGACTAGTTCTTCATCATCGGGATGGAAACGATAACCATGAGGTAGTTCAGGGGTTAGGGTTTCTGGTTTCTGCGTTACAAACTGTACCGTACTGCTATGTAACGACATAGCTGTCACTTGGAATTAAAGAAAGGTACGAGAATTAACAAGGAACAAAGTCGTACGTAGGAAATAAGGTAACTGTATTTACTTACAGAAACATCAAAGGGGAGAAACAAACTTTCTTTCTCGATGATCAAACACAGAGAGAACTTCTTGCTTACTTTCTCTAACTTCTTTCTTTAATTCTCCGTCATTGTAAAGAAAGAAATTGGTGGAAACAAGAGAGAAGATTATAAAACCAAACCCTAAAGATTTGCAGATAGAAAATCGGAAACACAAAATATCAAAGCGCGTAAGTATAAAGCCATGTCTTCCCACGCCAATTTATTTATAATAGGGTTTGTTGTTGAGGCGGTGGCGGTACAACGGTCACTAAGATTTTTGACAAGCTTCCAATTAATCTGTTGCTGACGTGGGAAAGGATCGCGAGGAGTCAGTGTACGGTACCGTACTACTTAACGTGTCGCTACTGCACGTGCAAAGGTATTGAGGGGGTGAATTGTGAGCAAATAAAGAAGAGAGACCAAAGCTTAACTTGATAAGTGGGTTTGCATTGGATGACTTTTGAGTCTTTAGGATTCGTGGGCTCTACAAACTAGTTTGTGGGCCCTAATAACAGGGACAATCTTTTTATGTTTTGCGAAAGGGGTAATGATTTGTTGACGATCGATGTGATTGATTGTCTTCGCTTAGGTTGTGGAAGATGATGGTGTAAGGAGAGGCCATTCTGAATTCGGTGCCGTGTTTGGTAACGGCAAACAATTCTTATTTTAGATTTCAAAATTCAGGTAAGAAAGTAAGAGTTGCTGGTTTCACTTTGAGTGTTACTCTTAGTTCATAGGTTTAGATTTCTTCCTGAATATTTCTCTTCATCTCATTCTCGCATAGGTTGTGGAAGATGATGATGTAAGGAGAAGCCATTCTGAATTTGATGCCGTGTTTGGTAACGGCAAACAATTCTCATTTTAGATTTCAAACATTCAGGTTAGTAATTAAGAGTGGCTGGTTTCACTTTGAGTGTTACTCTTAGTTCATAGATTTAGATTTCTTCCTGAATGTTTCTCTTCATCTCATTCTCGCAATATTGAAGGCTCCAGTGAATTTTTAGATTATTAGTGTGGAAAACCTGCAGCCAATTTGAGTCTCCATTGTAATTATGTCATTGGGATGCTTATGCATGAATCGTGGGTAATATATGGAATTCTGGGTTTGGTACAAGGAAGAGCCATGTTGTTTTTCTCCAACAAAGAGTGATTGGTTTTGTTTGTGGTGTCGTGGTTTGATGAACTGGTAGATGACTTGAGGTTTTTGGTTTCGCAGCAGGGGACATTGGAAGATCCCTCGAAGTATTTAAGGAACCACTAATTTCAATTATTCAGGTTATTATTATGTCCCTACGAGCTCTTCTTTTCTCGTGGAAATTATATTAATAAATCTATGTACTTCATGCTATAACTGATAAATTCGAGGCTGCCTACTGTAGACATGTATTTATCCTACTCCTAATTATCCTGTTGGAAAGGATCGGTGTAGGAAATTTGGTTGGTGAGAAGGGGAAAGGCTTTTACACTTGACTTTTTAAGTGCTTGATAAAATGCCGAATTGGAGGAACATAATATTCAATTAGCAGCCAACACAAATAATGTAGAGGAAAACAATCAGTGATAAAGAGGGAAAGAAGAACGTGAGTGTAG